GTTGGGGTTTAGGGTGAGGGTGAGGGTTAGGGTTAGGAGGGAAGGAGGGGTTAGGTGGTTAGGGTTAGGGATTTGTGCTTTGGGTTTAGGGGTTAGGGTTTAAGGGGGTTAGGGTCTATAAGGGGGTTAGGGTTAAAGGGTTTTAGGGTTAGAAGTGAGGGCTTAGGGGTTTAAGTTTAGGGTTACGGGTTTGTTTCCGGGCACAACATGGGTGCCCCGGCGCCCGGGAATACAGCCTAGCAAAATACCATAAAAGGTTTGGCTTTCTTTGAGAATACAGACCCCTTGGTACATTCCTGAACTGAATTGTTGAAATACAGACCTGAGTTCGAACCCCGGTCGAGAGCAGATGACTAAAACACCAAGGCAATTTTGAACTGCCTTGGTTCGGTCAGCTCGATAGTGATATATCTCGAGGCCGTTGCCCTTTCAAAAAAAGGAAAACAGGAACAGGGAAAATTTTCAAAAACAACTTGAAAAAAGGGACTGTGTTCTCTCCTGGTGTTCTGTCCTGATTCTTTGTCACTGCCGACTCCTGGTGAGATTTTTATATTTTTTTTGTGAATTCAGATGTAAGAGGCGCGTAAAAGAAAAAGAAAGAAAAAAAAAAAGGTTCTTGTACTTTCACGGAAATCGTCATCGGCAGTTCATCGTGCAGTGTTACGGAGCAGAGTTATCGCCAACTTGTTGCAGTGGATTCTCTAGTCAGGTCTCATTTCCCTTGCAGTTGCTCATTAACCTCCAATAAAACTTATTTGTGTGTTTGATGTATCGTTCATATGGTGGTTTGTTATTCCAGAGGAAATTGTTCTGGACAAGGACCTCGAATTCCCCGGTTACGAAAAAGAGTGGCAGTTCGTTGAGACCTTGAGAAAAAAATGGAACGACTTTTTTCGGACCGAGCCGCAGAGCGAGGACAGGCATACGAGGAACTTGACCATCGATCAAATGCGGCATTCAATTCGGCAGGTGAGAATACACAGTATTTTGACTATTTTTACTAGTTTTACTATTTTACTATTTTACTATTTTACTATTTTGAACTTCATGGCGACACGAAGGCTACAGGCATTGAAACCAAGGCGACCTGTGAGCTTGCTCGATTGATTTTGAGACACTAGTGATGCATTTGTATGTCGCAGACAGCGCCACTTCGCCTCAATCGATAGTACTCATTTCATTCGAGTAAGAGTTATTTACTATTATTTTTTGTGGTTTCAATTAACACAATTGCGATGTCGACTCATCACATCCTGGAGCTGGAGAAAACGTAACCTTCTCTCCTCTATTGCTGTACGACATGTGATGATCGCATTTCCGTTTCCCACCGTCTTCACCCTAATAAAACGCCCTGTCATTATCGCAGCATCTGGAGTGAAAATTGTGCCAAATGCAGCTTTAATGACCGGGCGTTCTATTCGGGTGAAGACGGTACTCTCCATTTTTCGCCCAGATTGTGCTGACGACTGCCAGTTTACCACGTGGATCTCCCCATGATGGGGTCACTGCATATAAAATGACGTAACAATCGCACGTATGTCACATTGTGGCACAGTCACATTTATCTACCCACACCACATCACTGCCACAAAACATCACAGAATTTCATCGCAGGCCACTGGCGCCAGGGTAACAGAATGCCTAACCAGGGTTACAGAATGCCTTACCAGGGTTATATAATGCCTAACCCACAAAAACTGCAAGTCTCTACAACTTTTTCCCCTTTCTTTTTCGAAGTTTTCGGGAAAATTTTGAAATTGTCAATAGAAGTTATAAAAACCTCAATGCTTCAACAAGCTTTTAGTTGGTTCTTAGTTTTTTTTTTTTTTTTTTTTTTTTTTTTGAAGTTCTTAGTACTTCTTACGTCTCTTTGGAGATGAAAAAATAGAAAAAAGTTCAAAAAAAAATTAAAAAGTAAATAGTAAATATTAAATAACATACAATAGATTATCTACCCAAAATTGAATGAAGTCCCAAAGCATCACGGGTGTGCGTGTGTGTGGGTGTGGGTTGTGTTTGGTGTGTGGTAGAGTGCTGGCCATAGACACTGCTGTTACTCTATGGGGCCGGGGGAAGTAGACGGGAGGCGCAGCTACTGGCAAAATACTCCGGGTCTTTGCGTTAGCCGCTCCTCCCCCCCTCCCCACAAGTAAAAAAAAAAAACGGTGGCCCCACCCACCCTACACCCTGACCACCGCCGATTAGGGTAGGGGGCAACATCCATCAACTTAATTGTGAGAGGTAGCTATGGTTGCAGGGGTCCCCTGTATAGGCTTAGGAGTAGTGCTAGGTTGGTAGTGAAGGATGAAATTAAGGGAAGAATAGTATACAGCATAGTTTTTTTCTCTTTTTAATTAGAAAGTAGAGGAATTTAAAAGAAATAACGTCCCAAAGGGCCAAAGACCTATATAATGGTAATAAAATTAAATAAATATGGTTAACCCTATCATCATAACAAAAGCATGATGGTACACACCCACTTTCAGGTGCTGCTTTTGGTTATTGAGGTTTTTTTTTTTTTTTTTTTTTTCAGAACCTCTCGTTTCCGGCTCCTGCCATTCTGGGGACAGGGGTCCTGCTGGCAAGATGTGGACACAATAAAGGGCCCATGACTTTCCAAGAGGCATCCTTCCGCCAATCCGTCTCGTGGATGAAGGGCTTTTTTTTTTGTGGGGGTGGGGGGGGGAGAGGGGAACCAAGCTCCAGTCTATTCGTGGGGAGCGGCACGTGCTGGGAACGGGACCCAGCGTCCCATTTGAAAAATGGAACATGTTTGAGAACATATACAGAAAAACTTTGAGAGACCGGGGCTCTTACCCGGATTTGTCTGAAAATAGGATCATGATCAATTACTAGCCTATTCGGTAAAGAACCCCACGAGATAGGCTAAAATGCAGAAAAGGTCTGAAAAAATCTGAAAGGATATGAGGAGAAACAAAATGAGAAGTTTCCTTCTAAGCTGCAGGAAAGGACCATACGAAAATTCTGAACTTTAAATCGCCACCACAAAGTTCCTACGAATGCTCAAAACACTAAGAATCCCTAGCAATCCCTTCAAAAATTCTTCCAACACTGTCTTACTCCCTGCGGGGCTCTTCCAGGCCTCATACCCCCACCCTGTTGGGTTACAGGGCAACACGACTCGCCCCAGCTCCGACCAGCGTCGTCCCAGCAGCAACCCTTAGTTGTCCCTTGAATGCCCACCCCAAAGCATTCCCAGATCTCTCTACCAGGCCTCACACTCCTGCATCAGCAGGTTACAGGGCAACACCCCAGTACCGGCCAGCGTCGTTCTGGCATTGGACAGCCGCAGATCACGGAGTATAACAGCAATGGAGCCTCCAAAAATGAGTTGCTAGGAGTCTCGTGGGTAAAGGGCTTATTGACGAAATGGAGGGCTTTTGAGGGATTTATCGACCAAAGAGTGCTTGGGCTCTTTTCACCTTTCCCTCGTGGTACTTCGTCTTTTCGAATGGGGCAGAGGGCTTGCCTTCTACGGCCTTAATGTGGGGAGACCTATGGCCAAATCAGTAATACATTGAGGGCTTACTCAACAATATTCCCTTTTCTATCTTTTTCAAGGGGGGTAGCTTGTTGACAATTTTCCCCTTTTTTCTTTTCTCAAGGGGGTATATCCCCTAACATTATATGACTATAGTATCCATCTGATTCCGTCAGCATTAGAACTCCTGATCTGTTTATTCACAGTTTCATGTGTGTACCGTTCATCCACGTAGGCTTGGTGAAGTGTCTATATTACTCTATAACTCGTAAAGCTTAAACCGCAAGTACGCGGCCCCAGCCTTACAGAAAGTTTTTGTCGCCACAAGCAAAACTCGGAGGGGCCGCGCGGGATGGGCCCTGGGGCGCCGTTGAAAAAAAATAAATTGGCGGCCTCCGAAGTGGTGCCGGTTTCATGCTGACCCCCACGGGCCGTTGTGTGGTGTACTGGTGCTTTAAGGTGTTATGTCACAGTGTCGCTGTGGGCTTCACGTCCAGGAGCTGCGAGTCCTGGAAGGGAAATGGAAAGCTCCAAAATGTGATATATGGAGGGCCTGCAGCACCAAAACAAGGAAGAAAACTTTGACATGAAAAATGGACGGAAGATTTCATTTCTCAAAAAATGGACAGAAGATTTCATTGCACAAACCCGATGTAGAATGGCTAGGGAATGAGCGGATCTACATCTGCAGATAAGAATAGAAAACGATCTAACTACCGTCTTCACCCGAATAGAATGCCCGGTCCATGGGCGTTGTATTCGCGCAAGGACGGTAGTGGTTGTCAGGCTGAGGATTTGAAGTTTTTGAAATTTTGAACAAACTGGAGACCCTGAAGTAAGAACTTCTACTGTTTTTTTTTTTTGTTTTTTTTTTTAACTAAGCTATATTCTTCTCTCAATTTCACCTTTCAGTATCTTTTTTTTTTT